GTTGCTGTTGCTGTTGCTGTTGCTTTGAAAGAAGGAAGGTAATGTACCGGTATACGAACGAATGCTTTTTCTTCCTGGACCAACACACACAAACCGAAATGTTTCCTCCAACGAATGTCAACGAAGAATAGGCTGCGTGTACGTAGTTTCAGTACATAAAGTGTCGTAGACTGTTGGCAGAATTTGCCAGTGAGTCCCGGGTGCATACTGTACTGTATCAAACGAAGCTAAAAGTTACGTACAGGGTATTGGTACCGGTACGGCAACAACTGCTATAGAAAGCATCGTGCAGGTCTGCACCCGTTGCGGTGCATGATGTAAATAGAAAGGCTTTAGGTGTAAATTTTGATCTAAATTATAGACTGTTCGAGGGGATCGTTGAGTGATGGCTGATCTTCTTTGAGCAAGAAAAAGTGGCGTGGGAATGCAGTTTGGCTTTTTGGGCTGCCACTCGTTTTCCTCAAGTCTGCCAATAGGTCCAGCAGTGTGAATCTATGTTTAGTCATCCATTCAGGGATTTCATGATCCGGCGTACTTTGTTAACACCCAAGTGTAAACGTGACTAGTACAGTACATCCCATGAGTCTTGTCAGGTGTTGGACTTCACATTTTGCGTGCCCTGGGTCCTTACTCCGCGGCACTACCTCGTTGATACCATACTACGAAAGAGTTTTTTTTCTCACTCTCTCAGCCCCCGTTGCCCATTGGAAGAATACATGGCCACAAATGATCTGTGTGACACTGAAACTAACGTGTTAGAAACGATAGAAAGAAGTGTCACGAGCATTCGACACGTAAAATCTTGTGGGTCAAGAGATACGATTCCTATGTAGCTCGGCTAGATTGGTCTTGGCCGCTTATGGCGGAGTTATTTTTTTCCATGGTGTAAGGAAAAGCCTCCATGGCAGTAAAGCAGCCTTGATGGTGTAGTAGTCGAATACAAACAATTGGTAAACTTACAGCAACAACAATCATGGACTGCCGCCAAAATGCTAGAACCGTCCATAATCTGCTAGATAGAGCAGTCGTTGTTTAGCAAAGATGAAGCAATAAAATGATCCTCGAGGTTGGAAGTCCACAAGTTTGACCCTCAGAGAATACAAACCAAAATTCTTCGACATTCAAATTCCGATATATATAAAAAGATTTCTTTCATTGGGCATCATTCAATGCAATCCTTGTCGCCTTGCACAAGAATCACCATCTGTCAGTAGGAACGCACCGATAGACTAAGGGAAATGAAAGAAGCAAGCATGAGATTCTGAACTGCAATGTGATGGCCGTTGACCTTGGAAAAGGCGAACCTAATCTCTCATATAATACATGCGAATTATAATCTTCAGGAATTTTGGATATCAGATAGAGCTAATAATTGGTTGCATATCATGGAGAAAGAGACTTCTGTTCTATTTCAATCTCACGTACCCCGAGACACATCGTGGTGTGTGTTTTGTGTACGAGTAGATTTCAAAAGTTGTTGGACAGCATCAAAACAAGAAATATCGCGCACACGCGCACGAAGCGAAAATAAAATAAAGA